ATCTCACGAACTCTAGAACTCTGGACTGGGGGGGGCCCATTGAGTAGTCCAGACCTGCCGCCGGTGCTCGATCCCACAGACTTGTTCGTGGGCAATTGCGCTTCTGATGGCGTACGTAAAAGTATAAAAAAAGAAAAACACCTTACCATGGTACCGTTCGGTTTCGAGTTTTTGGGTTTGAGTTTGAGTTTTTTTTTTTTTCTTTCTTTCGAGGAATTGAGTTTGAGGACTAGGATCGATCCTAGGGAGGGTGCATGTCAGAAACGGACTCTTACTCTGCTCTACCCCTCGTCCCCCTGTCAACTCAGCAGACGTTGATGAAATCGCATAAAAACACAGTCAGTACTTACTCTACTACTGTTGTTACTGCCGAGGACCTCCAGAGCCGGGCAGCCAATCAGCGGGTTGCATTGTAATGGTTGGTTGGTTCGCATGCGCATTCCTGCGAGAACGAATAGTACTGCACGACGCCCGGCAATATTATAATAGTAGATTGCTGGGAAGAGAGAACATGTAACTCCAATGGCCAGGAAGATGGAGGGGGTAAAAAAAAAAGGGCAGAAGAGGAGTATGTAGACTACTATATCGTCGCCACGGCCGGCAATCGGTCGCAGGAGGGAGGTAGGTAGGTTCAGATGTATGTATGTAGTAGGTAGAATCCTTTTTTCCTAATTCCTGTCCTGCTTGCCTTGTCCACAAGTCAACAATTGCAATCACATACCTAACCTCACATACACCCGGACAAGCCAATTGGCCCAATACCATTGCCATGTAGTGCAGGTTACGGATGTGGAAGCACGCACGATAAGAGATGATGGGATGAGCAGAGCATTCGCATGAGCGATATCGATAGGAAGCATGGCCCGCCCGCATAACATCATCTCATCCATCCATCCATGGTGCCATTAGAGCAGGTAGTACAGGGCTTGCAAGGCCACAAGCGAGAATTAAGCTTGCTGCGCAGACCGCCATTGGAGGGAGCGCGGAATGGCACAGCAGCTCTTTTTCGGTTCTGTTATATGGGAAGGGAGAGAGGGGGGGGGGGGGGGTTCGTTTCGTTTCGTGTTGTATAATGCGGTGGTGGATATCAGATCAACAGTAGGTAATTAAACATTAATAATTTATGGGCATGGGCACGTGTGTATGTGTGTGTGGTACTGTGTGGGCGCGAGTGGATCGAGCTACACTGGCAGAGCACAATTGACAGAACAGCATGTCTACCGTCCGCCCATTCGCTGAAGCTCTGCTACTGTCTGTATCTAGAGACGTAACTGGGGAGAAGGTACATCCGACTTGTACGACAGAGCAGACAATACAGACAGACAGACAGAGTGCACCCGGATGTTCCACCCACCCCCCCCCCCCCCCCCCCCAAAGAAACAAAAAAGGGCGGCGAAGAAAAGCGAGAAAAATAAAAACAAGACCCTGGTTGAGCGCAAAAGCCCAGGATGCGGCGTTAGAGGAATTTCATAACGGTTTTGCAAATGCTCATGCAAGGAATACTCGCGAGACCAGGGATTCGCACGCATCCAACGTTGGATCACTGATCGGAGGGTGTGAGGGAAAGGGTAAGGGAAAAAAAAAAAAAAACACCTCTCCTCCTAGCTACCTCATCATCACTCCCCCCCCACACGTGAGGGAGATATTTACAGTGGGTACATAGAGTGCGCGGAAGGGAAAAAAAAAAAGAGGAGAAAGACGCGTGCTCGGTAATTTTGTTTATTGTGTTGTTTGTGAAATGAAAGCGTGGGGCCAGCGGCCAACCAACCAACGTGTTGCAATTGCAGTAGTAGTGGGTAGTGGCAACTGTAGTACTACTATGGGAGCTACATATCTGATACCGGATTACACACCACTACATGATCATATATACACTTTAATACCAGAGTAGCTATTGCATGCGGGCGCCCACCGCTCTCCCCTCTCGCTCGTGGTCGCTTAATGCTTTTCTGGTCGGCGGTAATCAATCGCTGCTCTTCGCGTCGGCATCCGGGGAAGAGGCATAGCATACGGTGTTTAGTTTAAATTTTGTTGGGTCAATTGATACCATGGGGGAGGCGGCGGCCTGGGGGAGGGAGTTGTGGGGGGGGGGGGGGGGGGGGGGGTACGGGTCGTGACTCGTGATGGCATGAGAAGTGAGGACGTCCCGGATATGCATTACATGAGTAGGGTTTTCACTTTCCATAGCCAGGCATAGAGGAGCAGCAGCAGCAGAATAGTAAATAAATAAATATGGTAATTCATGTCGATATCCCCGAAAACCCACCACCCCAAACACGGGCATATTCACCCATCGCAGCGCATAGCCGTGGAGATATAATTCGGGCTGGCCGTAGGTGCGTCGATAGCACATGGTATGATCAGATTGATGATGCCAATGTACAGCTCTAGCGCAGCGTACGCTATACGCGTGCCAATGGCATAAGCTGCTGCTACTCTACTTGAGGGAGGTTCAGCGTGCGGCGCGGCGAAGTGAACCTTGAAACCTCTGCTCGTTTCTTTCTTTCTTTTCTTTTCTTTTCTTCTTTTTTTCCATCTGACAGTCGACGGCGGACAGATTCGGCTAATCTACGGTATGTAATCTACTCTACCTATCCACGGCAATTGCATTACTCCAGGCAGGCAGGGGGGGGGCGCAGAGCAGCAGAGGAAGCAAGCAATTAAGCAAGCAGGATGACGATCTTAAAAGAGACGCGAGACGAGCGAGCGAGCGAAAGCTTGGGCGCATAGTGGCCGTGCGCAGCATTGCGCAAGGCCTGGCTAGCAAAATAGAGTAGTAGAGTAGACAGGCCCGGAATGTCGACAGCTCATGAAGCAATAATTCGAAACGTCTAACCTTCAATTGATCATCCAGGAGATTGAAATTCTAGATTCACGAACAGCTCGAGCTCTAGAGCACTACTCACGCGCTCTAGCCCTATGGACCCGTCGTCCGTACCCGTACCAAGGGACCACAACGATATTTGATGGGCGGCGGTGTGGAAAAATAAGGATTAAGGGAGACGAAGCTAGATAGATATCCGTAGCTGCTGTTAGTATCACGTCCCTACGTCCAGACGTAACTTATCGATGACACGAAGACACACACTTTTTTTTTATTTCTTTTTTCCTTTTCGGCTGTCTCTCTCTCACCTAAGTATATGTATACATATATATTTTCTTTTTTCCTGTCTCTTGTCGAATATCTTTTTTTTCTTCTTTCGTCACTCTATTTTTCGGCCCGAAAGATGGTTGAGAATAGACAGACGTCGACCAGGGGTAGGCAGAGTAGTGGGTGTGCAAGCTGAGAGGGAAGGGAAAGGGTGGTGTGCTGAATCCGAAAGGGCATGCTCCCAAAGTAGAAACGGCCGCCCCCATAAATCGCTAAGAGATCCAAATCGCCCACACTCGCCCTCCCAATCTGGGACAGCGTGCACCACTTTTTTAGGACAGCCCTGTGTGCTGGTGTGTGTGTGCAGGCAGGTGCAAAAAGTACAGTGCTTCTTATTTTAGGTCTGCCTATTTTTTTCCCTCTGGCTCCATGGTCACCACCCATCTCTATTCGTAGAGTTTTTCATGTAGGTACTTAACCTACCCTGGGATATCGATCATAATTAGGGATGACAGCCCAACCAACCACCACCACCACCACCTCCAGGAGTAGGAGCAGGCAGAATGTGGCCGTTCATGCGATGGGCGCGTATGTGTGATATGCGAGAGCGCTTCTGCTCCGTCACCCAACCACCCACCCATGTCACCATGTATATACTTATGTGCACTAACTAAGAGTTGGGCGGGCGGGGGAGAGGATACGTAGTGTAGGCAGAGGAGGAGATACATGACCCAAAAACAACAGCTGTTGGTTTGGTGGCCCGGGTTGCAGCCAGAGTATTCTCGTGCCCAACCACTGGTAGAGGAAAGGATATTGGTGATGAGGAGGATGAGTGACGGCCTGGGATCAAGCAAGCAGGAAATAGAGTATTTTATTATTTCATTTTTTTCCTACTCCTAGTACTGGGAAGAAGTGAGTTGGAGTAGGCAGAATATGGGAGGGAGTAACATAACACTTCGGAAACGTTCAATCCGTCAAACAGTCAAGTACGCAGAATCGGTTTAGTTGGATCTTTTCTTTCCTTCTGATTTGCATTCTGATGTCTGGACTGGTTGATTCTCGCTAGAGAAATCGCCAAATAATTTCCCACACACCCACCACCCCCAAATCTCCATTTGCCTGGAACCTCATCCTTTCAATTTTGCAGTGGTAGGAGGTAGAAGACTAGACTGCCTCAAGTTGTTACCACCCACACCCCCATCCGAGCGGTTGCAGTAGAGTACGTGCAGCAGCAGCCAACCTACACACCTACCACCCACCACTACTGGCAGTGTCTGGCACACACAGCCAGAATGAGAGCCCAGAACTGCCCTGCAACATAAACCAGGAAAATAGCGGCATCTGCTTGTGAACGGTTACTTAAGTGATCGCTAACCCTCGTTCTTTAATACAACCCCCCTCCCCTTCGATCTCGACTCGACATTTCATATATTAATCCAACCACCCCCCCCTCCCACCCAACAACAGGCATCCTAAAAAGTGTATTAACTGGTTTTTCCTTTTTAGATCCACAGCTAGATCATCGCTCTTCTTATTTATTACCCTCTGCCCTCCCCCACACCACAACTAAATACTTACTTTCTTCACTTCCTCATCTCGTGAAGCAAAATACAATCTACCCTCCCCTCCCAGTAAAGTGCATAGCCGCAGCCGGAAGTGATCAGGCTTATCCATCGGCAAATTCACACACAGCAGCTATGGTGAGCATAAATATCATCTTGAAATTAAACAAACTCCTCCTTGCAGCGTCAGCGTGGCGCAGTAAAAGCAAACAAATACATAATCGTTTGGAGGGAACACAAAAAGCTAACGGGAGTATTTAATAAAGCCTTCATCAATTTCTTCCCAGCAGAACAGCTACGCACAGCACGCACAGCTCACCTCGCGGTTATACGCACTCAGCAGACCAATGTCAAACAAATTCAGACCAGTCTCAACAGCAACCTCGATCGACTCTTCAACTTCAGGCGACTACGAGGACCACAGACGGGGATCGATGAATGGATGGCGTACAAGGGAGAGTGTTATCATGGAGAGTGCTGCTGAGGATGACGAGTCTGAGGATTCAGAGTCCGAGAGCATTCGTTCATTGGGTGCAAGGGCCAGGATGATGACCGAGATGCTCAGCGATAGTGATGGATCAATAGGCAGGAGGAGCATCGATGGAGGACTTACATTCTCGCTATCCGAGTACGACGAATCCTACGACGTTCCATCGACTCCACCAGCACTCCCAGAGTATTCAGCTGGAAACTTCCAGATGGTTGAGATTTCCGATGAGAAGTCTCCCTCGATGTTCCGCTCATACTCACTCAACACACCGCCAGCATCGTCACACGACAGTATCTGCACTATCGGGCCAAAAGGACCTCATCTCTTCCGCTCATTCAGCACCTCACACCAGAACTCGCTGCCTCACATCACCATTCCCCGCCTGAGCGTTGTGATGCCACCGACACCTTCTGCGTCAGCCTCGCCAGCCTCGCCTCCAGCACTTCCATCACCATCTCAGTTCCAGCAACCACCTTCAGCAATCGACGAGAGCCTTCCATACCTATTCCGCGAGCCCGAGCTTCGCCCAATGAGCGAGCGCTCCCAGGTTGTCAGCGACTACGACATTGACGAGATCAGGAGCTGGACACCCAGACAGGTTTGCGCCTGGATGACCGCCCTTGGTGTCGAGAGAGAGCTCGTGGACAAGTTTGAGCGAAATGACATCTCTGGTGCCATTCTGATAGACTTGAAGTGGGAAGATCTCAAAGAGGTTTGTAGTAACAACAACCCTAACCCCCAAACCTAACCCTGTGCTAACGTGACAATAGCTTGATATCCAATCATTTGGCAAACGCATTGAGCTCTGGTCCGAGATTCACCATCTCCGCACTCGCACTGCCTCCTCGCCTATGGCAGGAGAGCCGTTCCCGCGTGCTTCCTCCCGCATGTCAAGGAAATCGTCGCCACGAACCTCGCCGGTTCCTACACCAAAATCTTCACCCAGAATTCCTCAGACACCAATGGGCCGCGGAAGCAGCCACAGTGTAAACGAGATTCCTCAATCCGAGCGAAGACAGGAGACGGAAGTCACCGAGCGTGAGGATTCTTCTGATGAAGAGCGTGCACCAAGGCCGCTCAGAACCCAGATCAGGAAGCGTGCTCGCAGGACTACTGCCCGCGTCCCAAAGTCGAAACATTACGATTCAATGGCTTCTGAATCTGCAGGCATGTCTGACGCTGACTCTGCCTACCTGCAGCAAGTCAGGTACATGCCCTCTATCCGTGCTGTCGAGGAGGGTGCAAACCGCCAGAAGGCTCCGGCTCGCAAGAGAAAGACCAACGTTGTCGGGCCCAATGATTCCATCTCTGTCGTCAGCAAGACTAGACGAAACAAGAACATTGAGGACTTTACTTCATTTGGCCCGAACAACCAAAAGCCAAAGGGAGTCAAGCTCCACAAGTGTTCCAAGGGCGAAAAGTGCCGAAAGCACGGCCAGCCAGTTACCAGCAAGTCGGGTGAGAGGAGACGCAGGGCTCCTGCCGAGCATGGAACAATCTTCATTGCCACCACCCCAAGCATTGCTGATGCCTCAGCTCTTCCAAGGCTTTCGGTCTTTGACGGAGTTTCCCGACCTACATCAATGGTTGCACCTAGCATCATTGCTTCCAGCGATGTTTTGGGACCTTCCCAGAGGCGTGAGGTCAAGCTTAAGCAGAACACCCTTAAAGATGTTGGCCGCATGGACCCGTTGGAGAATGTCAAGCAGTTCTTGACTCTCCAGCACCTCCAGCATCTCGAGGAGCGCAGACACTCACCTCCCCCAGTGCCAACAAAGTCAGCTGAAGATTTGGCACGTGCTCACCTTAGGGGAGTTATGCCACCCATGGCCACCCCTCCGCTCTCAAGGAGCGAGTCTGCGCCTCCCCCAGTATCCTCTCACAGCTCAAATGGTTCAGTTTCTATTCCTATTGGTCTTAGCAACTCTCCTCCCATGGCATCTCCTCCCGTTCGCTCAATGACCCCAATGAGTTTGCGAACAATGGGAATGGAGCGTGTTTGCCCGCCTGAGAGTTCTTCGCCACCCATGAGCATGCGCAACGTTAGCGTGAACATGATGAGGACCACTACCCCCTTCTCGGAGGCTGATGTCCCCATCTGCTCCACTACGCCTCCCCCAAATGACCGCAACCAATCGCAGTCTGTTCCCCCAGACATGCGATACAGGCGCTTCGCCACACCTGATCGCGCCCAGTTTAACCCTACCCCACTTCCAACTACCCCTACTCCCGTCCCTGTACGTCGCGGAACTGTTTCATCCCAGTTCAGGCCCGCGCCTATCATGACCGCTGTTGACGAGAACGCCGAGTGGGAGTTGGTCGAGGATGACGAGGAAGGTACCAAGATGGCTCCTGCCCCGTCCCCACAGAGAACCCACTCAGGATGGATGAAGAAGCGCAGAACCAACTGGTTCCGCCACGAGTGGCCTGACTACCACTTTGTGCTCAAGGGTACCCGTCTTGGGTATGCAAGACACATGGAGAAAGAAGATGGCTTCATCGAGATGGACAACTACTCTGTTGCCTGCTCCACTAGCGCCGGCCACAAGCTCTCTGCCGCCTTCAAGGGTTCCAAGCTCTTTGGCAACAAGAAGGGCGGCAAGGACGGTGACTGTGGCGCCTTCTTTTTCCAGCTTGTACCGGCTGCGCCGGAACCTGGAAAGAGCGCCATCGGAAAGGTCCACCACTTTGCTGTTGGTAGCCGAGAGGAGAGAATCGATTGGATGAGAGAGCTGATGCTTGCAAAGGCAATCAAGCAGAAGAAGGAGGGCTTTAAGGTTGCGGTCAATGGCGAGAAGGTCTAAATTGTTTAATGTGATTTAGTTTTGTGATTAATATTTTCCTTTGTCTGTTATTTGTTTATGTCAGAACGTACGAGAATGGGTTTGATTTTTGATTTTTTTTCCTTATCATGCATTCATAGCGAGGGGTCTCTTTCTATTTCATTTTCACTTTTTTTTATTTAATTTCCATTCTTCCAAATCTCCACTTACCCCTCTGCGGGTGTTTCATTCTACATTCCACTTGTTTTATTAGCTTCACTTTTTTTTTATTCATTACTTCATTCTTTTTACCTTTTTTTTACCTTTTGATTTCTCCTGGAGGACCTTATTGGCGTTTATTCTTGTTTGCTTACGAAGGTTGGTGGGTTGGTTGGTCGGTTTGCAGTATTTATCTTTCTCCTTCTTCATGACGATTTGATTTCGAGCGTTTAGTTATGGTGTTTTTTTTTTTATATATATCCTTATTGATTTTTTTTTTCACCGCAACTATTGCTGCTCTACCGTGTACTGTTTGGTGGATCCTAGCTGTGCATTGTTGGTTATTCATTTTTTTTGGACCCCCTAGCTTTTTTTTATTATTATTTTTCCCTTTTCTTTTATTTATTTCTGTATGTAACGGGATGTGGATGTGGATGGCCGATGGTCGATACGATGGAAGAGATGTAGCTAAGAAAAACAGATGGAATGGACACAAAAAAGATTGGATTGGCTCGCGCCGGAAATTGGTGTTTTCTTTTGCTTTTTAGGTAGAATGGCTTCGGTAGCTCTGGTAGTTTGGCCGAATAAAAGGATCTTCTTTTAAAAAATGAGTTCAAGTCCAATTTGATGTGATGAACAGTATGAGTAGGAAGATGATTGATGATGATGAGGTTGATGGTTGTGTTTGGCTACGAAGAGGTAAAGTGGAAATACTTGTATAGATGCCAGATAAGCTTTTTAGATAGTGGTATTTGGATGTTCGACCGTTGACATGTGGCTTGACCGTGAACTTCACTTCCTCTCCCACTTACGAAGTATACATTTTTAGACCAAGTAATTGTTTATCTCCTGACGATACAAACGCACATACTCATCCTGTTTAGATCCTCTGCGCACCAGACATGAACGAAATCATTCATCACCAGGGGATGGCGTCAAAGACTACACTGCAACTTTATACCAACGAAATATATATTCACAAAGAAGGGGAGGAAATATCGCTTTACAAAACAGACTCATTATATGCTATAGTAACTTATTCAGATAATCTTTTATTGTCTAAAAATTACTTCTTAGGTATTCATCGAAAGGTCACAACCCGATGAAGTACGAACTTCAATTCATTGACTAGCACAATGAACTTTTTCAAAAATAGGCCTGATCCGTCTTGGTTCAATAGCGTTTGTCCTGCTTTGGGCTGGGATGAGGTTCGCGATAGATCTACTTTTTCTTTGGCCCTGTTGCGTCGAGCTCATGACGATCTTTACTAAACTCTTAACTATTTATATGCAAAATTACAATTAATTTTTTTTTTGTTTCATTCATCAATTGAAAAGATCAGACATGGCCAAGCAGGAACAAGTACGGCCTCATACTCACTCTAGGTGATCACAAGCAAAACCTCTCTATTCCTTCGGTTTTAAATTCTCCGCGTACCACAATCCGGGGCGCCACAACAATTAATGAACTATCACCGGGTTTGTCAATGACGTTAACGATAGCGCTAGTTGCCATGCATCCAATTAATACGTAGACACCAACGCATTGATGAAATATGATTTGCGGGGCGTTTGAAGCATGATTCAAATTGCATGTTTACATCTCTTGGTCCGACTATTGGTTTAGGTGCACGTATATAGAGGTCGAGTAGGGTATTTGCATGTATCTACATATACATAGGCTAAAGGGTACCGGGGTATGTGTACTACATTGTAGTGCGTGTAGATACATGTATATCCATAAAAGCCACCCAAAAGACCAGATCTAACCTCCCAAAGCTGGTAGATGTATAGAGCTAGCATGGTCTCGAGCTCATAACCCATATCGCCGTACGAATCCAGCAGGGGCTAGCTAATGGTAGTCCTCCTCGATGATCTAGCTATTCTTATTAAAAAATTGCATGTAGTCGGCCAGATAGCAGGTTGAATTCACGTGAAACCTTCAATTGGATCCTTACTCACTACAATACTTTCACAAAGCACCCTGCAACGCTTTAATTAGTCTCGATGTTTGTTGTAAGCTTTACAACCCAATAAATTTGGGACTTGCCCTGCCCTGCGCATGCGTCAACACGCACACACATCAGCCGACGCCAAATCATGAACCATCACTCGGCACCTCCGCCCAGAACGCAGAGCCTACTACCACTCAAGTTCAAAAAATCAATCCGCACATCTCCCGTACGCCAAAAACAGAAATAAAAAAACACCCGAAATCGATCTCAGAAGATAATGGACTTGGGATATTTCTACTCCGATGCGGGGAATCGAACCCCGATCTGCTCGGTGAAAGCGAGCGATGCTAACCGTTACACCACATCGGATTGTGACAAGGGTCGGTCCAGCATTACTTGAATTCAAAATTAACAATGTAGAAATCGCCCGAGCTGGAAACTATCTGAAATCTCACCGCTCCGTCTACTGCCTCTTTGGCCGAAGTCGGCTAGTCTGCTCTCTTGATATTTTGAGAAGTGACGAGGATCTCACGTGACGGCTCTAATCGAGTGATTCATCATGATTTAATAAACATGTAAAACCCCGATCTTTCCTAGACCCGGGCTCAATACACCACAACCCTATATGATGTGGCGTTAATAGTTTGGGGACTTAGTAAAGGCTCACATCCGCTATCTTGATTGGTACTAAAATCAGCTTACAATCCCATCTCAGGCCCCAAATCGGCAAAAGAAGAGAGCGAGTTCGGTACTCAGGATTCCCACATGGTCTCCCACTGCAGTACTAATTGAGCAATACGAAGCTTAGCTTAGGCAGATCCTGACGGGACGCCCCGTTTTCTCCGTTCTGTGACCGAACACGTTGGACAGGCTAGATTAATTCGCGAATTTATTAAGGACCGACGCTTTCTTTACTTGAGAAAACACGCATTCTGTAATGTGGGGTTCGTCGCTGCCAAAACATCAATAAGATGCGTTATTCGCTCAAACCATCTGAAGGGATTTGGGTCAGCACTCTGTCGGATAAGTGACTGTTCATGACGATCAGAACCTTGTCATGGAAACAAAAAAAAAAGACAGAGTTCAGCACTCAGGATTCCCACATAGACTTCTACTATAGTACTAATTGAGCGATATGAAGCTTGGGTCAGGCAGATCTGACGGGATACCCTATTTTCTTCGTTCTATGACCGAACACGTTGACCAAGCCAGTCTTTGTAGATTTGTAGACCAGAAGAGTGGTCTTGATAGTCGTATTACTGGAAAAAAAAGACTTATGAAAGTCTTACCCAGAGCGGGGCATTACAAGAGCCTTACCGGACTAAAAACCCTCTTCAAACGCTTATTAACGTTTATAAAAGCACCATCCTTAAAAACAACTAATCAAATCCTTATCCGTAGAAAGGACTCTACCCAACGGTAACGCGCGCATAGAAAAGTGGCAAAAAGAATGGAGTGTAGTACCCAGGATTCCCACATAGTCTCCTAGTGCAGTACTAACCGGGCGATACAAAGCTTGGGTCAGGCAGATCTGACGGGATACCCCACTTTCTTCGTTCTATGACCGAACACGTTGGTAAGGTTGGTTTCCGTGGATTTGAAGTCATGAGCTAGCTAGGAGACTACTGGTACCGGCCAGTTTATGTTTAGTGGTCCGGACGAACCGTAGCCCCGACAGGAGAATTTAAGCCTGATCTACGCTCCGGCCAAAAAGAATTATGCGCTGTACCGTTAACCAGCCTCCCGGGCCCGGCCGTACCAAATTGATAATATTCCGCTGTCGACGATGCCACATCTCAACAGATACCTACTCCAGCGAACGTTTCCGGACCACACATTACCAGTACTCCAACCGCAGCCCATAGATTCACCGCTCGTCTATACTTTTCTCCTATCCAATTACTCCCCTATATTCCAGAAGTCTTCCAGAACGTTACAAACCAACTTCCCGATCCAGAACCAGACCCGGTCCTCAGGGCAGCGGAGCTGAAAAAACTTCTAGAACCATCCAGTTCCCGCGGGCTTTCCCGAGCCAGCCAGCCAGGCAGTGTAGTGCAGTGCCATGGAACCATAGATCTATTAAGGTTCAAATTGCGCTGTAAGGCACAATCGATACTAAGTAACCTACCATATATACCTCAAGCTCAAAATCAACACCCCACTCAGGCTAGCCAACTCCAGCCCCTTTCGAGACACTCACTTAAATTATCTCACTATCACTCCTAACTACTCACACCTCCTCACAGTATATTACGCAAAAAGTGTAATTTTGTTTTTTTCCCCCTAGTATAGTACGCCCTATCATTTCACAGACATTAACGTCTTTAACGTTAACGTTAACAGCAAAACGTCCGGACGTCCGGTGACCAGAAATACTCCATGATGACGCCTTGGCACACTGCCCGGGCGGACTTTCCACCATGTGCGCGTACCTCCCAGCCCGAAAATAGTCTGGGCGCGACGACGATCACTGGAAATACTACATGACTTAGACGCCGCATCTGATTACGTCCGATTTCATATCCTGGCTATATGACATTCAACTTGGTAGCGCTAGCTTACTGCTAACTTCAGATGTGCTGATCATGAGATTATAACTATACTATTTGGTTAATGAGTTTGAATTCGTACTGGAGGGCCTGTTCTCAGATGTACGCACATGGCTTGGTTGAGATGGGCCAATGATCATCCCACCTCACTTCATGCTACTTCGCCTGTGCAGGAAACAAAAACGTGAGTAATAATAGAATTCCAAATCTCTTACAAGGTTTGCTAGAGAAAGCAAAGTTCCTTTCGGACTGCGTACCAACATGCTCATCATACAAATTTTCCACCCACTGCATACCGCTGATCATCACCACCACACACA